ACAGCAACATGCTTTGATTGAGAGTTCTATTCAACGTGGGAGCAATCAGCTTTCAGTGGGAACAGATCGCTGGCGCGTGTTTACCCGCGTCAAACGACTCGGCGAGCGACCCGCGTACTCGTGCATTCTCACGTTCTCATGAAAGGTCATCAGCCCGAGCACTATTCCACTTCACAAGGACACCAGTCTGTACTCTTTAAACCTCCTCCTGGACGGCTGCTTCGTTTCCCGGCCGCTTCCTGGTTCTGGGTGTAAAATGGAGCCGCTGCTAATGAAAACCATCAAACCCATTCGGTAGAGTTAGATCCAGAACCAGCGATGTTTTCCCAACTACAGAACACCGATAAACCAGTTCTCACCTCCTGGTTAATAAACCGAAAGCAGTGTCTGATCATTAGGAAGCGCTGATGAACGACGAGGGAAAGATGCTTCAAAACGAACCACTGAGGAATGAAACAGTTTGTCTTTAATCGTTCTGTTCAGCAGAGAAGAACCAAGGAACCGTTTCAGGCCCCAAGTCTTTCCTGCAAACTGGTCCAACTCCCTGACTCCCCCCTCCTCCCTTCCTAAACTCGGCTCTCTCTCTTTTATACGTACTGCTGTACGTTTCTGTGTTTGTTGACATTTCAATGACTTCTTTTAAGCCAATATCTAAATAATAATGTGCCACTGCAAAAAATTGAAATCTAAGTAAGTTTATTTTTCTTTAAAAAAGAGCATTTCTTTCTTGAATTAAGCAGTTAAGTGATACACTTTGTCAATGGAATAAGGCAATTTACATCTAAAATAAGAAAAAAACAATTGCGTTGTCTTATTCCGAGTGGATTTTATCGACTTATCTTATTTCAAGAGTAAAAATACTCATTCCATTGGCAAACCTTATTATTTACTTGCTTGAATTATGCTAAATACACTAATTTTAAGACATTTTTACTCGTTTCCAGATCGTTTTTGCAGTGTGGGAAGGTGGTTGCTATGGATACGGCTACTGGCACTGCTCGATGGGACATCCTGTGGGAGCTGCACTGGAAAAACAGTCTAGAAATGAGTAAAAATGTCTTAAATTAAGTGTTTTTACCCTAATTTGAGTTGGTAAATAAGATAGTTTGCCAATGGAATGAGTATTTTTACTCCTAAAAGATGATAATTCTCAAAATAAGACAATGCAATTGTGTTTTGTTATTTTACGTGTAAATTGTCTTGTTCCATTAATATAATCTCTATTTTACCATCAAAGAGCAAATGCACTTATTTTAAGAAAAAAGGACTTATCTAGGTTTCTATTTTTTCCAGTGTGGAACCTTGTGACTGTCCCGTGAACCTCAGCGGATCCAGTCCCTGATGCTCTGCAGACGCTGCGCCAGCCGCTGGCCACTAGATGGAGCAGGCGAGCACGCTGCCATTGGGGCCTCCAGTTTATTTAACAGCTGATGCTCCAGATTCCAGCACACAAACACACACGGTGAAGAGGTTTACAGAAGGACACACAGGCTGAAGAGCAGAGCTGAAGATCCAGCAACAAAACAAACAAACATGGAGGAGCACCAGCCTGCAGCTGAAATATTTAAGTCCAGCAGAGCTGAAGACATTAGCAGGACGTCTGCAGCTTGTTCCGGGGGAATCTGCGTGACTGCAGAACCCGCTCACATCCATTCCCTCTAAATTCCCACTGACATGTTTGGTATCTCTGGAAACTGCTGGATCTCCAGCAGCCCTTTAAGTGGGACAGCAGGGGGGGAGGGGGGGTCCCGGACGGACGCGTCCAGGGCCGGGTACTGAACCAAAGTGCATCAGGGCCCCGCCGGCTGCATGAAAGGTTCATGACTGAGAGTACGGGAGTTATTTAAAGCAGCCGCCGGCCCAGACACGCTCAGACTAATAAGCCACAGTCTTTATAAGGCAGCGGCGGAGCGATGAGCTCACGCAGGCTGGGCTGTTTGCTTGAAAAACAAGCGTCCCACTCATGGGCTCACACACTTTCCCCGCAGCGCTGCTGATGTCAGAGCTGAGGGAGAATCCCAGACGTCTGATTACAGCCGGAAGCTTCAGCGTGTCTTCTGCGCTTCCTCTACACTCACGGCTGACGCTGATCAGGCGGTACCCTCATGTCTAATCATTTCATATCAGACTGGAACTTATTAAACTTTAAGGTAGATCTACATGAGATCTGTTCAGTCATTATTAGCCTACATCTAACTTATTTATCTAACTTGGTTTGTTACCAGTGAAGAAACAAACCTGGTTCACTCTTGAAACCCGTTTGGATCCGGTGATTTTCCAGGGAAGCTCTTCCAACATCTTCCCATCAGATCAAACTGTTTCTATTTCTAGCCAAACTTATAAGTGGAAGATTTCCAGGATCGTTTCTCAACCAAACAAACACAATGACACATTCCAGCTCCAATCCCCCCTAATTCCTGCGGTCAGTGCAGCAGGAAGCTGTGGGAAGATGACACAGGTAATGACCAGGGGGCGAGTTTTCTGGGATTAGTGGAGATCAAAACAAACCTCTTCTGGTTTCTGAGGGGGAACCAGATGAGGCGTGGTGATGACCAGGATGTTTCATAGCTTCTGTTCCTTCGGATAAGCGTAGCTGGATGAGCTCAGAGGAAAGATCTGCGTGATGCTGGAGTCACCAACACTGATTCAACCTTCAATGAAGCTCTGGAAAACTAACCAGTGTTGGTCTCCCACCTTACCAGCCGTATGAGGCCCTCTTGGTTTATATTCCGACTCCATTGACCAGTTAGACCTCACTGGAGGCCTTCAAGCACAATTAAAGCCAGACCAACCTGGTAGGTCTCAATAATGACCCCCTCTATGGAACCCAAACCCATTTCCTTCGGAGTTCTCAGAAATCTTAAATTGATGTATCTGAGTATATTGGATGCTTCCAACCTCCCAACAGAGCTCCTTTAAAGCCATCGTCACGCCTTGTTACGCCTTCCTTAGTAACAAGCAGGTCATCTTCAGACTTCTTCCTACCTTTACATCTGCTGTAAGGCAAACCCTCTGACCTTAAGAAAAAATTTTAGACAATCCAGAAGCTGAAACCAGGGATTCGTTACGACTCTTCCTGGCAAAGTCCCTGAAGGGTCAGAAACCCGAGGAAACACTGAAGAACGTTTCACTCTGTCTATGAAACCAGCAGGTCTTTATAGGTGTTTGTTCAGGACATCTTTGGATCCTCAAAGTAAAGTTCTTCCCAGTCTTACAGCCGAGCCGATTGGTTTGGAGGTCGGAACATGTCTTCCTCTGAACTTCCCCTCCTTTCCTTTATTTCACCTGGACCGGCCTGTTGTTGACTTGCTGTTGTTCTGGTCTTGCTTCAGTGAGTTGAACTCTTTGGCCCTGCTAACTCTGACATGTTGGGTTTTACTAATGAACTCAGAACTGACCCCCCAAATACCAGACGTCAGTCAGACGTTGGTTTTTAGGCTAAATCTGGTCGGTTCTGGTCTCCTGTTCTCCGCAGGTTCTGGTCTCCAAAGCTTCATTGAAGGTTGAACCTTCCAAGCTTTGGAGAACTAACCACTGTTGGTCTTCAATGTCCTAACCAACTTATGAGGCCCTCGTATTGTACGTTCTGAGTCCATTTACCATTTAAACCAACTGAGACATGTCAGGTTTTACTGATAAACTTAGAACTTACCCCCTAAACACCAGACGTCAGTCAGACCTTGGTTTTTAGGCTAAATCTGGTCGGTTCTGGTCTGCTGTTCTCTGCAGGTTCTGGTCTCCAAAGCTTCATTGAAGGTTTGGAGAACTAACCACTGTTGGTCGTCAATGTCTTAACCAACTTATGAGGCCCTCGTATTGTATGTTCTGACTCCATTTACCATTTAAACCAACTGAGACATGTCAGGTTTTACTGATGAACTTAGAACTTACCCCCTAAACACCAGACATAAGTCAGACCTTGGTTTTTAGGCTAAATCTGGTCGGTTCTGGTCTCCCAAGCTTCACTGAAGGTATGGAGAACTAACCACTCTTGGTCTTCAATGTCTTAACCGACTTATGAGGCCCTCGTATTGTACGTTCTGACTCTATTTATCATTTAAACTGATACATGTTGGGTTTTACTGATGAACTTAGAACTTACCCCCTAAACACCAGACATAAGTCAGACCTTGGTTTTTAGGCTAAATCTGGTCGGTTCTGGTCTCCCAAGCTTCACTGAAGGTATGGAGAACTAACCACTGTTGGTCTTCAATGTCTTAACCGACTTATGAGGCCCTCGTATTGTACGTTCTGACTCTATTTATCATTTAAACTGATACATGTTGGGTTTTACTGATGAACTTAGAACTTACACCCTAAACACCAGACATAAGTCAGACCTTGGTTTTGAGGCTAAACCCGGACGGTCCATCATAGTCTTGATTCAGTCCAGTAATAGACATTGAAAAGAAGTTAGAAACCCAGTTATGAACGTCTCTGCAACGATCTGAGAGTTACGGCTGTTCACCTTTAACTTTTCAACCCAATGTAGACGTCGTTTGGATGTAAAACATGTTGCCTTTGCAACCAATTTTCGCAAAGTGGGGGGGACTCATCTTTGGGCAGTTATTGATGATCCGAGTTCGCTTGGTTGGCCGGGTCTCCAGGTACCTTCAGGTAAGGAGAATAGAAATTTGTGATAATGTGATTTATTGTTCTTGACGTGAGGTCGAAGATGACAGGATTCTTCAGAACGGGGGAGTCACTGGTTATTAGTTAGCTGAAGTTGATCCATTACTGATGCCTTCACCAGCAGACGACAAAGCAGATGATGATGCTTTGACTGGAGCCGTGGAGCAACCAGACTAAACACGCTGAGCGCGTCAGACCGACTGACTGACAGACGGTCAAACAGACACCAGATGGAAAAAAGAGTCACGGTTCAGGAGATTTTTCAACCCTCAACTCATTCACAGCTGAGGAGGGATGAAGAAGTTGAGAGGAGGAGGGCGGGAAAAGGTAGGATGAGTCACCGGGGGGAGGAGGGTGAAGGAGAGAGAGGGAGGTGTACTTATGGTTGAGTGGCTCGCACTAGAGAGAGACCGGCCCACTCCACTAAAATCATTCAACTGGTGAACGAGGGAGCACACTCAACTCTGACGGAGCGAGAGAGGGAGGGAGCAGCAGAGGTAAAGAGAGAGAGAGGAACTCCCTTCATCTGGGATAACTTAGTCCTTCTCTAACACACACTCTGCACAGACTTCACCCCAGGAACAAGCTCCGTCCTGCAGCTTTTTTTCCCTCATCCATTCATCTCCTCTCAGAGTTTTTCCTCTTATTTTTTTCTTCTCCTTCTTTCTTTCTTTTTTCCTTTCTTTCGTGTGACGCCTCCACATTTTGCAGCCATCTGTCCCTGACAAAAAGATAAGGATTACTCATTTTCTCCCCTGCCGTTGTGTTTTTTCTCTCTTGTTTCTTTACAGTTTTTTCCGTTGGGTTGGCAGGTGGACTGTGAGCTGAGCTGAACTTTGCAGCCTCCAAACTTCTGACAGAGGAGACAAAGACAGAAGGACAGAGAGGAGCCGGAGCGAGGAAAGGAATCTTCTCCGTCTCAAGGACTGAATTTTGATTGACTTTTGTCCTGATTTGGACTCTCGGAGATCCGACTGCCTCTTCAGAGCAGCCTCTCAGGTGTTTTGCTGGCAGCATGTCTTTGTTACCTTTACTGGGCTGGGCCCTCCTGGTCCTGGTGCAGATCCAGAGCGGGAAATCCTCCGTGGACCTGAAGTCCAGGCATCAGCCCATCTCCCTGATGGTCCAGTCCTTACCGGATGCCTCCAGCGTCCACTGCCCATCCTGCGCCCTGGCCAGGATGAGGAGAAATGAAGGGACGCCAGCCGCCGGCGACGACTTGCTCGGGTACGAGGAGGAGAAGGCGGCTCAGCCGGACGTGGTGGAGGCGGTGAAGAGGCACATCCTTAACATGCTCCACCTGCAGGCCCGGCCCAACATCACCCGGCCGGTGCCGCGCGCCGCACTCCTCAACGCCCTGCGCAAACTTCACGTGGGGCGAGTGGCCGAGGACGGCAGCGTGCAGATCGAGGGCGAGGAGGAGTCGAGAGGGCGGGGAGGTCCTGGAGGAGGCAAGGGGGGAGGAGCGGCGGCGGCAGCTCGGGCGGGAGACGGCGGCGACGCGCCGGAGACGACGGAGATCATCACCTTCGCCGAGGCGGGTGAGTCTGACAGTCTTCCTGGTTCCACTCACACTGATGACATCACTAAGGATGTGTGCGATGAAATGCAGACCCTGGAAACAGTTTGTCCACCTGCTTAGTTCCACCTGCACGCTCCCTGACGCAGCCTGTCACCTCTGTAACTGCCTCCTGCTCTCAGCGGGAGCCGCTGGTTCTGCTGCTCCTCTGAGCGCTGGAGGGTCTCCCTGACAGACGGTAGCAGCGGAGCGTAAATCAGCCAGAGGCAGAAAGGGACGCAGGTCCGGTTTGAAACGCAGCTGCGCCCCCTCCCACCTGCACACCACAGTTAGACTCCACGGTCTCAGCGTTTCCAAAGGGAAATTATTTGTCCTGAAGGTCCGGTCCTGTTGTGGGATTCTTAAAATGCCTCACCTGCCAGCTGTGGGCCGGCTCTGACGTCTGCTGGATTTCCTGTTGCTGCAGTTCAGGTTTCTGTAGGTGAGTCTGGAGCAGCAGATGGAAAAGATTTTAATGAAGTGGATCTTTGCAAACAGGCTGAGAGGAGCAGCTTCACTGAAAGGAAAATACAGCGTAGATCTGCATGAAGAGCGCCTCTCTGTGGAGATCAAAGCCTCAGACGTGGTTTCAGTGTCTCTCAGGGTTCATCAGCTGCAAACAGAAGAAACTCCAGAACATAGAAAGGTTTTTCTAAATTCTATTCAGTGTATTTCTATAGCTCCAATTCACATCATGTCATCTCAGGTCACTTTCCAGTTCACCAGATCATCCAGTCAGATTGATTCAAAGTTTTCTATCTAAGGAAAACCAGCTGATTGCATCGACTCATTGACTCTTCAGCAATCCCTCACACTAAGCATGCTTGTAGCGACAGTGGAGAGGAAAAACTCCCTTTGAACAGGAAGAAACCTCCAGCAGAACAAAAAAAAACACTAATCTTTTCCGGCTCGGTCCAGATAGCTGCATGAGGAAAAATTGGTAGAACTTTAGAGAACTGGTCTTCTAAAGGTCCGTCATGATGTGGTTTTGCTTCCACCGGGGGAGGGGCGGTCTTCAGTAAGGGTCCGACATCTTCAAAGCCTCTATGGTTGGCTGATTCTGATCCTGCTGGACGTTCCTCTCTATTGATCCCAGTCCTGAGTCGGGATGAGAGACCGAGTCTCTTCACTAGTCGTCTTATAAATTGGATTTAAGTGGATGCTGTAGAACCCAGTTTGACTAAACTGGACTGACTGACTGACTGACGTGGTTCTGGAGATTAACCAGATCCGTCAGACCAATGTTCTGATTTGACTCTTAAGAAATGGAGTAAATTAAACATTTTTAAAAACCTCAGATGTGTTGAATGTGATGCTGGTTCGGTCAGACCAGCGTAGCCATAGTCAATACGCAGCATAAGACCTCAGATTTGCGTTTCTCCTTTTAGTTTTGTACGAAAAATAGACTTTAAACTACCTGGATGGGCGGTTAGCCCTTTAGTCATGCATCAGATCCCCATACGCTTAAAAAAAACACAAGAAAGTAAGACATTAAATAGTTTTTTTGTACATGACTTAAGAGATACATGCCCTCTGAGGTAATTTAAAGTTTATTTTTGGTACAAAACTAAAGCAATAAACGGGTATTGACTATGGGTATGCTAATCTGACAGAACCTCGGTCCAGATCTGCTGAATCGGGTCCAACAGCCTCTTTGACTTTCCTCTCGGTTGGTTTTTGCAGCTTCTGTCGCAGCAGGCGGCTGCTGTAAACTCTGCAGAGCGCCGGACTCTTAAACGGCTCCAGAAGTTCCTTTCAGTCAGCAGAACCTGGCGCCACCAGAACCCGGACCGCTCCCTTCAATCAGCCTGACTCAGGGTGTGACGTAGGGACGGAATGGGTTCTCCGGGTCGGTACCAGCTTGTGTTTTGACTGGACTCCTGCTGCTCCATGCCGCTGCAGAGAAAACGCAGCGGTTAGACAGAGCCGCCTTTACAGTCGACATCTTGAAGCAATTTGCGCCACGTAAAGTAAGAAAAAGCACATTTGCGGATGAACTATTTACATTTTTGTCGAGTTGAAAATGATTGGATCAAACAGCAGCTTGAACATTCAGAGTTCTGCCGTAGGAGATTCGGTTTCTAAACAAAGCGCAGAGCTCATCAGTCACTCCGACCGTCTCACAGAGCCGCCTCCTTTTGAGGTTAGCGTCTAACGAGGCCATCAGCTCTCAGACTGCTTCCAGTTGCTTCATGCAGCTTCTGGCTCCAGTTTCTGCACATTTTAACACAATTATAAGGATCTGGACACTTTAATAAAGACATCATGAAATGATTCTAACTAACGATTTGTTGAAGTTTCTGCAGTAAAATTAACTGAAACTAAACATTACAAACCAGTGTGGTTTGTTTCATATATTAATTTATCCTATTTACTCATTATAAAAGGCCACACCATCCCTGAGTGAAGCTGTTTGTAGCTTCTTCCATAACAAACCGGATTCTTTCTCAGGTTTATTCATAACATTTTACAGTTTACTGTAATTAGTTTTTACTCTGACTACTTTCCATTATTGTAACTAAGGAGGAACGAACGCTACTCAGGCAGAACAGGGCTGATTACCGAGCTATAAGGGATTAACCGTTCTCTCTTTGGTAAAATAAAATAAAAGGCAAATAGTTTAACACTTTTTTCCATCAACACCAGTTAAACAAATTTATAATTCTTGGATTGAAAAAACAAAACAGAAAAAGGTTGTTTTTTTTGAGAGACAGAAGGAGGAGAAAGAAGATCCTCTGAACCTGAGGAGGTGAAATAAATCAGTGGAAAAAAGCGATAGTCATGATCTACCAGCAGGGGGCGTCTATGAGTTTTTTAAACAAACTTTATTCACAAATAAAGAATATACAGTTGCAGACAGTAGTAACAAAACTACAGAATTCCATGAAACAGAGAAAAAAAAGATTAGAAATGAAGTTCACCACTTAGGGTTATAAGTTTCACAGCTTTAGAGTTGGTGCATATTTTTAAGGAGTCCAAAAAACAACATGAGCTCTAAAAACAGTGAGGTTGGGTTTGTTTTTAGCAAATTTACAAACATGTATGTGGAACTTTGCTAACAGAATAAGAACATTTATAATCTATTCTTTCCCAGACATACTGAACATGTTTAACATTTAGCGCAATAAGTATTTTGCATTTCCCATTAACAAAATTATTGAAGTCGCACCAAAAAACGTTGCTAAAAGAGCATTCCCAAAAAGGTTGGTTAATGTTTCCTGATCGATGTGACAGAAGGAACAAAGTGGATCAATATTTGGAATATATTTGTTTTCATTACTGAATTAACAGGATAACATCTGTGTAACATTTTAACAAACACTTCCTGTATTTTATTAGAAATACAGGAATATTGTTCCAAAAAAAGGTTGAGGCAGGTTTGCTAACAGTTTTCCTCTGGATTATTTCTGTTATATGTTTATTTCCAGTTTTAAAATTAAGGAATTGATCTGAATTCCCAATAAATAATTCTGGAAATCTGGGATTCTGGACGTTACCTGATGTTGAGGCGTCTATGAGGAGCCTTGCATGACGCCGATCATTGAGCAATCATTTGGACTGAGCCGAATAACCTGAAGGTACCAAATGGACCAAACAGGCCACCGTCTTTAAATGTCCCAAAAATAAAAAAATCACGCTGCTGTTTGTTTAAAACCAATTAATCCATTGTTTTTAAATTCTAGTTTAACTAATAAAGTACTAACTTTATCTAGTCGGGTATTTAATGATATGAAGAACTTTTCTATATTTATTTCTTTAAAATGTTTGCTAACTAAATATGGCAACACATTAAAAAAATTATATTGTTATAATGAATCTGTTAAAATTAGATTTGCTTACATTAAATTTACTACATAGATGTGATCCTGTTTAGCTTGGAATGAAATCAAACCTGGTTATTAGATTTTTACAAAACTTTGATTTGAATCAATAATTTAAAATTAGAAATAAAAGCCTCCTTTGGTTCCAAGCACCTGTGCTGTGAGGCCCCTAAATGGCCCCTGGGCCTCACTTTGGACACATCACTGTACGTAGATCTTTGACACATAGAAGCTGTTTGGCCCCTGATTTAACCTCCGCGTTCCAGCCTCCTGCATTAAATCCTATAGGAGCTTTCCGTACCCCCTGAACCCTCGGAAATAAACGGTGCATTCAGGGAGCTCTGTAATTATTTTGGGATGGAGAAGGCGGCTGAGGGAGTCAGGGATGACTGGATTCTTGGCTGAGATGAAGCGTCAACCTCTGTTTAGCAGCTCGGGGACAATATCTATCTGTCCCTGTTTTTTTTCCTGTCCTCTGTTTAGAGCCTGTCCCTGTTTACCTTCCCCCCTCTTCTCCCCTCACTCACCACACACAGAGGACAATTAGGCTAATTGAACTTAATTGAACACATCATTAGCGACATTCCTGAATCCACTTTCATCCGCCTGCTCTGCTCCGCTCCGTGCGCTAACCTCAGCCCACCCCTGGCAGCCGGAGTGCGGAATAATCCCGTCTTTGTTGGGCCTATCCTGGCAGAGCGGCGACCTGCTTGGGGTCACTTCGATGACCTCTGAGTCAGCTGATTGGAGGGCAGGAACATCTGTGTGATGTGGAACCAAAGCGTAGCTGGCAAGTAGTCACCTGTAGTTAGTTGATCGTCAGTCCCCCCCCCCCGCTCTGCTCCATGGCATCGGCGTTTTCGAGAATTTTACATGCGGCTGCGGTCCTGACACGGCCGGGTTTATTGCCGTCCTCCCGTTGGTCTCTGCTGTGATGTGGGGCAGAGATCCTCTATGTGTGGACAGATGAATCACTCCGTAGTAAACTTCCACAGACCGCGATCCTCAATATGTGTACTTGTGAGTTTTTGTGTGCTGGTGAAACGTCATCAGCCCCGGCACTGTTTTAATAAGAACACAAGACTCCCCTCCCTCCTTACCCAGCATGCATCACAGCAGACTTGTCCGTCCTCCAGACTGACAGCTGTCCCAGCATGCACTG